GACCAGACACCCATTATGGATAAGATTTTATTTTGATAATTTTGATTTATCAAAATAAATTCTTATCCATAATGGAGTTATACTCTACCACAGTGCTCAAGTTTTATGCTTATATCAAAGGACCAGACACACTACACTAGTCAGTTCAGTCAAAATCAGTTACAGACCATTACCAAGCATCTTATTTGAAGCATGTTATTTTTCAGTAATAATTACTCTCTTTGGTTTTTGACATTCTAACACTACTATGTTAAAGTTTTATATTCAATTTGTTATACTCTATATATATCCGAACCAAGTTCACTTTTAACGGTTTGAAAAAATTTGGGCATTGGGTATATGATATTCATTATAATGCAGGTTTTTGTATTTCCCAATGAATGAAAAAACCAAACGAGATTGTTTTTACTGACGTTTCGCTATTTAATGCTAATAGCTTTCTCAAAGTATTATTAAACCGGAATTTACAAAATCTCAGCATATATATAACAAAGAGTTAGGGGGTGAGAAAAAAATATAGACTTAGTTAAACTTAAAAGGACATATTGAAAGTCAAAATAACAATGAAGATTTTTCAAACCAAATATGAAAGGTAATAGTATATCTGTTATTATACCAAAATAAAGTTTACTAACTTGATCATCGTTCGTTAGTCTGGGGTCATTTTTGGTTGTCAAGTTGGAGAATAGGTAAAGGTAACCAAACTAAGTGTAGGCTGTGAAATACTTGATCATCGTTCGTCAGTCTGGGTCGTTTTATGTTGTCAAGTTGGCGAATTAATAAAGATAACAAAATCAAGTGTAGATTGTTGGATTTTGTCAGTGTGTAGAATTATGAAAGTAGTGTGTGTTTACATAGTGAACTTGCTCATCACATTTGCGTTGATTTTGCTACTTCATGGGGGAGGGTGTTTTAGCCAGGTCAGGTTCTGTTTTAGTCCATCATTCCTATTCAGGCAATTTGGGATCCACTTGATATGAAGGGCTGGCTTCTGATATTAGACATTCTTTGTGGTTTCTGAAGTTTTTCTGGATTATTTCAATATTGTCAAAATCAATTTTGTGGCCTGATTCTATAGCATGTAGACCTACGGCTGATGATTTTTGAAGTTTTCCTAGTTCAATTGGATTTCTTGGTGGTCGAAGAGATGATCTACGGTGTTCATTTCTTCCGATTTTGATTTCTCGAGATGTCAGAAGCACTTCACATCAAGTGGAATCCAAATTGCCTGAATAGGAATGATGGACTAAAACAGAACCTGACCTGGCTAAAACACCCTCCCCCATGAAGTAGCAAAATCAACGCAAATGTGATGAGCAAGTTCACTATGTAAACACACACTACTTTCATAGTTCTATACACGGACAAAATCCAACAATCTACACTTGATTTTGCTATCTTTACCAGTTCGCCAACTTGACAACAAAAAACGACCCAGACTGACGAACGATGATCAAGTTAGTAAACTTTATTTTGGTATAATAACAGATATACTATTACCTTTCATATTTGGTTTGAAAAATCTTCATTGTTATTTTGACTTTCAATATGTCCTTTTAAGTTTAACTAAGTCTATATTTTTTCTCACCCCCTAACTCTTTGTTATATATATGCTGAGATTTTGTAAATTCCGGTTTAATAATACTTTGAGAAAGCTATTAGCATTAAATAGCGAAACGTCAGTAAAAACAATCTCGTTTGGTTTTTTCATTCATTAGGAAATACAAAAACCTCTATTGTTATACTCTATTTGTTTCTTTTACTATGTTGTGATGTTTTGGTGCCTATCTTAGAGCAGCGTATAAAAAAAGCGATTTATCGGACACCTTTTACTACCATGAACTTAAGCTTTATTTGAAAAGCACAATAGTTTTTACATGCAGCCTGTTTTTTTAAAGGTCTGATAAGTTTACTGTAATTTTATACACATTCTGAATTTCTTACATTTAAGGAACAATATTCCTGTTTCCAATCGCTTACAGTTTTAATGATAATCGTTCTTCAACTCTGTTGATCACCTAGTGTTTTTGAATCACGTAAGAATATTTTGCTAAGCTTCCTCCTGATACATCAAGTAGCATGTTTGTTGACAAATGGCGCTGGTATTTGCTATGACCTTCCAGAAATACTAATTGACTGTAAAGCTGTATAGAGAAGTTACAAAAGAAATATTCCTTGATGACCTACGTCTTATTAGCCTATATCATATGGGTATTTTCATAGTTTTGGATTTGCACAACTTCGACTTCTCATTATAAATAGGTTAAATCAACGGAAACATCATTATTTCCACAGAGATTTTCAATAATTTTTTCAGTTAACCTAATGTACTTCTAACTTTCATTCAAATTCAGCGTATCACTCAGTGAAAAGTTCTTTGAGATTTTTCTTAAAATCAGTAAACTCTACACTGAAGTTCCATTTGAAAATTCAGCTTATCAAATACTTCAGTGGACTCCAGATTTGGACAGACACCTAAAACGGTTAACTGATTTTCTCATAAATAGATGCAAGATAAACATGAATACATTGTCCAGTGATCACAGTTTCCTATTAAATTAACATAGAAAGTGGCTAACATATCTCCGGGAGACAAAAGAGTGGTCCTATCCCATCCAGACAGCGTTGCCGATGTGATAATGGCAAAGCTCTCTGTTTATATCAGCAATTTAACGAACACAATATCTGATGAAGAAAAATTATTCAAGTCACCTGACAAGGAAGGTATTTGGAAGAACAGACAGTCTTCTTAAGAAATTCCTGAAGAAAATAGATTAGCAATTCAAGTATTGGTTGGTAGGGATTTGACTGACTGGTTAGAGGATTTCACTATAAGCTGACATAGGCTAGAGAACTATTGGAAATTGTAGGAGTACTGGACAGCTGCCTTCCCTTAGTTTGGAACTCCTCACCATTTCGTACCCACCGGGGTTCGAACCTAGGACCTTCCGGTCGCAAGGCTAGTGAGCTAGTAGACCACTAAGCCACTGGGACCCGATCAAACAACCTGTGAATTCCAACTTCTGACAATTCCTTCAGACTACTACGAAAACATATGGCAAACATAGTCTCAAAAACACCTTCAACGTCATCATTTGAGTAAACGATATTCTCAACGAATATTTCCACATACAAAAATCATGCGTAAAAAGCATTCACTTGTAGTGTAATTCAAGCTGACCGTTTATCATCAAGCAAATATGTCCTTATCAAAGGTCTATCGATTAGATCCATATTTAAATTTCTGAAGAATATGCTCTGAGCAATCTCTTTAATACTTCCAGTACAGCTGTACTATTTATAACTCTTCCTCTGAGGTCAATTTGAAAAAGTAAACACAAGCTGGAAAGTTGCCTGAAAATCCAAAACTATAAATTATTGTACTGTGAATTGCTTCTCAGGATTTGTAAGTTTTATTATGGAGATAAAATGGAAAGTAAACTGAAATTGCTATATGATATCTGATTACAAGACATATCTTCTAATGTCTACTGACTGTAACATACAGAAGTAGATACAAAACCTCTACATTATCTTTTACTATCCTGGAATTGAGATATAACACAAAGAGAGAAATTCGTAGAAATCATTGGCGCAGAAAGCATTCTACTTAGATGTCCTGAGAAATCTATTCTTGACTAGAAAGAAAAACATTTTCAACTCAGTGAATACAGAATATTGCTTCCATCCACTTTATTATATGCAATATGACATTACTTGTTCATTTAGCACTAAGTACGCCGACTTTCTTCAGTGCCCTTTGGAAATATTTTGAATCTAATGGTCCACAGGGGAGACGAGAATTCTCAGTAGTCCCATTCTGCGACATTTTACCATTTCTGTACATTTGGCTCCATATTTATCTAGAGATTCCACCAATAACATATCAAGGAGCCCTGACTATGTCATTTATATTAGGCCAAGTGTTCGACCTCTCAGTCAGTAAGTAATGCATGCACTCAATGGTCCAAGTATTACTTATACTAGACTTTCATTAAACTGTGCCTTTGCTTTTTGTATACATATTCCACTAAAGTCCAACCCATAAGATGTCTCTCTTATGCACAAGGACGGACTGGACCATTTTAATACCAAAAGCATAATAACTCTTTCTATTCCTTCCAAAAAGATTCCCGTTGTAGACAAGAAGCTCTGGTTGATTTAGGTGTTGCTTTTTTCGACGCTTATAAACTAAGCATTTCAGTAGCTTTTAGGGTTCTGGTAGACCGTCGAAAATGCTAGCACAAAAACCTTGAGTGACTTGCGTTTGGACTAATCAGGGACAATAAGTCTACAGGAACCAGAATCAAACATAGGTTCAGGATTTCTTGCAGACTACTTTCCACCATTTAAAAGTAATTGAGTATGCACTACCACCACCAATCTCTCAAACAGGTTACGAAGTTGTTTATACGACTGATAGACTCAACACTATTGTCTAAGTAATGTAGCCTCGATTAATTTCCTATGAATAGTAAACAGAGATATAAATTCTTACTTTTAAGTGGTAAGATAATATGACACTTGGTTTGAATAGGCTAGTATAATATAAATGCTCAAACATCGAGGATAAATGCATTCTGCACTAGCTGGTACATAGACTATGGACAACCAGATACATTCAGATTCTAATATATATATATATATATATATATATATATATATATAAGTAGGATCGCGGGATAGAACGGTATGTTTATGAGGATGTGGTAATTGTAATTTGGTAACGTTAAAATGCTATTTTTGGTACAGCCGGGAGTGACAGGAAAATGCCTCTAATGCCACGTTATATTACGGTCCTTGATACTACATTATATTATTATATTATTGTCTTCACTGAGGATCAGACACCCTAAAACCAGGTCAAAATATTTAAATTTAAGGACATTTTATAAGCTTATATTAGTGAAAATAATATTTAACATGTGACAAATAGCAAAAAAAAAAAATAATAATAGACATGAATAAATGTGTGATATTCGCCTTATATGGTAACTTACAGGGTTTCCAGATTTCTCAACTTAATTAGACCAGAGTTAACTGTGATAGATTTGATTAAATTATTTCTCAGATTTCTGCAAAGATAAGAGAAATAAAAAAAAATTAAATACTTTCATTTGAAGACAGCATGTTCAAAGGTCCAAAGCCTGAATTTACTCATTTTTATTTGTAACTCCAGTAACTGATTTTATTAATCCAAAATAATTTCATTCTTTTGTGATATACCGACTTTTTGAACATAGGCTTATGTAAATCAAAGGAAGTGGTAGCATTCATGACCTAAACCTTAACGAATATCATTTTTAGGTTCAAAATGATCAGTTCATACAATGAATCACTTTTCAAGATGATAGTTTATTCAAATCATTGTTCTGCATGAACAGGCACCAGCTTTTTGTATTCCACTTCCAACAACCACAAAAAGGAGTAGAATACTGATCTCTCAGTGACACTCATATCTCGACAGTTTTTTAACTATAAGAGGTTGACTAAATAAAACTAAGGGAAGATAAAATGCGCTTTAATCTCCACAAAAACGATCCTTTCAAACTTATGTTCAGCTGATACCTGGTAGGCTAGTTATCTGAATTTGGTTGGAAACTTCGGTAGATGAAGATGTATTGACAAGGATACACTATTTGGAAATAACGTTGATCTTATGATCGCAAATAAAGCCAATGAATGGTTTTAGATAAAAAAAACTAAAATTTAGTTTACCATGTTACCTTTCCATTCACCTATTCATTTAGGAAGCTAAATATCATAGCTCAAAGGTAGTTTCAGACAGCATTAATCATGAAGGGGAAAATTCAGACCATTTTAATGTTAGCTGAAATAAAGCCACAGATATTTGATGCATTATCAATAATTGGCTCTGATGTAGGTCAGTACCCATATCCCCAATTAGTCTTATACTCTTTAAAACTAAGCTGGAACCTATAAATATGTTCAAAATAATTACTTCATTTAGTCGACGGTCATCGAAAAAGTAACTGTTCTACTTTGGTAAATATCTTTTACTTGAGTTATGAAGTGTTGAACTTTCAAATATTTTAGAAGAGGACGGTACAACGTTATGATGTTTAAAGACGGTCAGTATAGATTTATAAAATCCGTCTAATATTTCAGTATTTACTTTGGAGAGACTATTTGTTATTGTCTCAAACAAACCTTCAGCAGTTAAGAAGACATGTTAAAAACGTGGATTATTTTTGAAAGTATACATAAATTTGTGTCACCTTTAGAAAAAACACAAGTCGACAGTCCAGAAACTTGAATTTTTATTCAAGTCAAAATCTTCAGAATTAAAAGTCATATGGAATAGCTAATCTGAGATTAGTTCATTTGTCTACTGACTTTGAATGTTTGTTTCTGAAAAACATTAGCCTAGAGGAGAAAAAAAATGTGACCATCCATACTACTGGAGTGCATACTAACTGGGTAAATGTATCTATCGAATAATTACACCAGTCAACCCAAAATGAAACTGAAGTTCAGTTTTGTTTTTACCCACTGTAACACACATTATAAACAACAATTCTTCGGAGACATCTATCTCACCTGACACTCAATATGTAATCTTTGGAGCAACAAAAACCACAAGCGATAAAAAGCGAATTTTGAAAACCACTGAGAAATTTTTTTATTATTACTTTTTAAACTCTTAAACGTCGACTCATACATTACCGTCTTTCAGTTTTTATTTATTACTTATATCTAACGAAATTTTCAGAAAATAAAAGCGCACATCTGTTACCTTAAAATGGATTTACAAATACTTAATTATACGCTTGATAGTGTATCTATGGCGTTCTCATTATTTTGTGAGCTTGCCTAACGAGAAGTAATTACCACTTATATTCTTGGTATAACTTGTTCCTAATTGAATCTTTATGTTTTATAATCTGGGTGAGATATGATTAACGATTGGTACATATATATAGTGGGCGTCTGTGGCACAGCGGTAGAATGCTCGCCGACCACGCCTTATGTGGTCCGGGGTTCGATCCCCGGCCGACGCACTCCTTTACCTTGCTAAGCCAGTAATATGATTGGTTGGGCGTGAGGCTAGCAACCCAATCTCGTAAAAAATAAGCACCACTGCTACCGAAACTTCAAGGCCCAAGCAGCTTAAAGTCCTATGTTCCACTGAGAACGTGAAGGAATAAAAAAACATAGATGAAGTTACTTAAAGGAATTACTGGTTAAGACAGCTTGGAAGTTCAGTTGTTCATTAAATTTACTAGCTTAATCAAATGATTTCATTTGTAGTTGAGGATCTTCCCCAGGAAAGTCGTGTTTTTAAAGGGACATACTCTTATTAATAAAAATTACTGTCAATTTGTTCACTTTAGATAGAAATACTCACAATTCTTTAGTATTCAGCGGTATACTTTGAGGGATTTCCGTTAACTCTAGACTTGAGCAGTCAACTCTCAATCCACCAGAAATTAAACCAAATTCATCCGGTCGAAAAACGGCCTCTGAATTTGCGTGCAATCTTGGCTTTACTATGATATCCATACATTTACAACCTTCAGGGCATTGATGGCTAAGAAATTCACAAGTTTGACTTTCATTTTCATAATTAATTGTACCTGGAAGGCAAAAGATGTAGATGATTCACTTTAATCGAATCAAATTATTTACTATTTTGGGAAAAAATATACACATAGTTTAAGAGTGTTTTATTACAGATCTTGAGTGAATGAATTCACTTACTATACTGAAAAGACACTTAGAGGGAGGAGTTTAATAGAGTACACTTCTGTTTCAGAAACACAGCTTCCTCTTTTTTGGCTTTGACTGTATATAGCGACATTCCATACGATATACGTAACATATTTTGCGTCATGTAAACAACATTGTAGTCTAATTTCAGCCTATGTAGTTAGGCAATATCTGTGTGTTCCATTTAATTCTTTTCTAATCTTTATTCACAAGGCTACTTTTTGCTTGCAGTCCCTGTTGGTGAATATCATTCTAGTGCTTGGAAACTGAAGTGATGGGTTCGAAACACAGATACAAATACATCTATTAAAATGGCGAACATTGTAGCGAGGAAAACCTTATGTTTAGGATTACATGACCAGCCATGGTCAAGTGTGTAATCACTTCTACTTATAAGTAAAAGGGGAAATACTTCTACGTCTCTTCAGAAGTACATAGTTTAGTTTCGTCTAATTAACCGAATCTGTTTAGCTTTATTAGCATGCATTATATATACATATATATATATATATATATCGGTCAAGTAAATTTAAGCATGTAAGCAGGTTGATTAACCTTGTTGTTCATTATACAATAATGCTTGAATAGAAGGTCAAAGTAGTTAACATAATGAAGACAAATGAATTAAAATATTTCAAATGACTTCAGTAAAGTCCTTTTAGTTAAAATACATAGAAAACTTGGATTTATTGCCATTTTTTAAAATTTTACATTTCGCTCTACTTTTAGTACAGCGAACCAGTAATGATGGTTTCATTTAACTGCTTAACTTGGTTATAAACACTTTGCAAGATGTAGACACTGTGTAAATGACCATCTTGAAGGAAATCAAAAAGTAAATTACAGCAAGATTTTAAAATTAAATTATTTAACAAACAAGAAAGAGCTTTATAAGTCGTACTTCATAGAGTCCACAATGTAGCACAGATGTCAAGTAGACTATCACTTACTAATTGGCATGCAACAATTTGTCTTACAGAGTTGTAGTACTCATTGTCCTTTTTCACATTAGTGTAGGTAGCATGACAAAGCTCCCCTAAAGTTTGATTATGAAAGGAAAAACCTGATAATAAATTCTATATCATCATTTGGAGTATTTAAACAGTCATGAGCTAATGGAGATGTGATGGAGAACTCTGTGTTTGAAGATAAGTTATACATAAGTGCATAGATGTCATGAGTGAAGTATTACTTCCCGGATTTTCAAACTTCTGTAGCTTATGTACGATGGTGTAATATTAAAATATGAAGCTATTACCTAACCATTCATTTCACTTTAAAGCTAAGCAACTAGATTTGTCATTTTCTGGAGAACAATATCAATGACTGAGTGATTTGTATTTATCTTGCGTTAATATTAATGACTAAATCAGAAGTGTAGGGTTAACTATGGAAAATTTATTTCTCAAATGTTGCTCATACTTTAGTATGCTAATTAGAAGGCTTGCTACTAAATTACGCTACTCATAAAAAACTAACAAAGATGAAAGGGAATTACTCTTCTGTCATACTGTTCTGATAAACTGCTAAATATATCCTACATACGACTGAGCTATTCGTTTTTTATGGAAATAAAAAGGATGTACATTTATGTCTCTTCCTCCCTATTTTAGAATTCAAATGTTAAGATTCATACATAAAGAAAGAGACAACCATCATAACACAAAGAACGAAAATATATACAGAAGAAAAAGAAGGAAGAGAACTTCACAAGCATTGAGTCATTTGAAACATTACATTTGTTTAAATCATCGATGGGTCGTACAAGAAACATTGGATTAGTTCATGAAACGCCAAGGAATATTATTCACTTTACAATTTTCTAACTGTGTGTTGTTTTCTTGAGAGAAATTGAGGCGAATGGATAGATGTCTATCTGTCTGTTTTCGACGTAGAACTTTGCACATATGTGCGGCAGTTCAAGTCGCCACACTCCATATAGCACACAAAGAATGGATAGATAAAGAAGGGAAGTAGAGAAGCTGAATGAATCTCTCTCTCTCTCACTATATATATTTAAATATTTATAGTTATTCAGTATGTGACTTACTTGGACACTGTAATATATGCGGCAATAACTCCCGTACATGACGACCTTGAACATTTAATGGTTCTGCACATCTAGCCCATTGTGTACCACCGGCTTCTTTTTCAATTAAGAAAGCTGGTAACCAAGTTGCTAATTGGCAGTCACATATAAGCGGATTATGAACTAAATAACTTGATTATTTAGAAAACACAATAAGAAAAATAAAGATAAACAGTTCTTGGGGCGATTATTATTTAACTGTGATCATGCAATTCTAAAAGTCTAAAGTATTTACATGGTATGCTTTTCATTTTATGTTGTCAACATATTGTATGAGGAAGTGTAGGAATGAGTCAAGAGTGAATCACTCCCAGATTAGAAAATGCTCAGTGGGCCGTCACTAATTTACTACAATACTGAGCCAAAATTTTATCTAAAATAAGATAGGGAAAACAAATAGAAATGATCGGACAAACATTAGTCTGCCATATCTAAAGGGATTGTTTACCTAATGCCACTTAATCACAGGTAGTAGTGAGAAAGATATAATTATATATATATTTAGGATATGTAATTTAAAAACAAAGAGTTCCCTTTATGAATTTAGATAAAGCAATAAGAAGACGTAATTTGTGTGAATCGTGTAATGTTGTATTTGCGCAACACATTTCGAACAATCTGATCACACACGGACTTGTCATATATGTGAAATTGATAGAGAGTTAAGAGATGAGAAAATAGACTTGGGTCAAGTTAATAGGACGTATTCAAGGTCAAAATAACAATGAAGACCACTAAACCAAATAGCAGAGGTAATAGTACATCTGCTATGGTATCAAAACAAAATTTACCCATGAGGGTTCAATCTGATAATGGACTGTTTTTGAAGGCATAAAGGTGGTTTAAACTTTCTCATTGCTAGGGTTTTCACAAACCTTAGGATACGCCCAAACACGTTTTATAGATAGGTTTAAAAGATATGTTAACGTCAATTTTATGTCCTGTCTCCATAATATGTTTCGCAATAGAAGAGCTAGGTCTTCTGTTCTCGCCATCAATGGGTTCTGAAGACTTCATTTGTTTTTGGAGCCATTCAGGAATGTGCTTTGAAACCAGGCCTTACTTGCAAAGATCGATGAGCCCGTGTGTGATCAGATTGTTCGAAATCTGTTGCGCAAATATGTAATTTTATTTTTTTCAAAGGTAGAAAGTGTATTCGCATAATTTTATCTCATGAATTACGTAATTATAAGTACATCTGTTATTTAATAGAATTGTCGTCCGAATGAAGGATATCTATAAACGTGCAGTGTATCTCTTCTTCTAATAAGGCTATGCAGTCAAAGGAAACCTTCGGTCTGATACTTATACTATAAGTATGATTAATCATATTCAGCGTAAAATGATAAAGCACTAAAACCTTTCTCCTTTCCATGTATAATATATTGCTAGGGATTACTGTGTAGCCTGAAATTTATTCACGGAATTAAATAGTTGGACGGTAAAAACAGATATAGCGCTGAGTGCGCTAAATAAAACAGATTTCGCGCAATGTCTGCCGGTGTATTTTTCCATACATAAATACTTCTAAAATCTCACAAAAGCAGAGTAAGGTGTATTAAATTGAAGAGAAACGAAAAGTAATCAGAATTCACTGAAAATTAATTTTAATAGATGATTGCTTACAGATATTTCAGTCGACGTAGGTCTTCAAAACTATTCCTTGGGAAGGTTTGTATACGATTGTTTGATAAGTGTCTGTAATTTTTAAAATATTAGCGATTAAATCAAAAACACAAATAAATATATACTGTTTAGTAAAACAGAAAACAAAATCTGTGCATATAAAATTTCACTAACTTCCCTGGTCGCTGGAAAGAAATACATCGTCATATCCTGTCTTAGAAAAAAAAGGCAGGTTATGAAAGAAACTAAGTTAAATCTAAGATCTTTGTAGTGGGTAAAATTTTCTACAAAATCCAGTAATCTAGTACCTTTTAATTTCAGAAACAATTCTTGAGAAAATGTTTATTCATTCATATAAATATTTTGAAACTAGTACAGCCTTTTAAGAAACATTGATTCTGATAAGCAGAAAAAAGTTTTATATGAGAATAATTTGCTTGAATTTGTCTAGTAGGGTAATTTCAGTCTTTTGAGAATAATATCAGCACAACTAAAGATAAATCATTTGAGGAACTTTTAGAATTTCTGCATCACTACATATCTTGTGAATGTTCATTTATAGTTTTTGGAACTAAGATACACTAACCAATTCTTTTCACTTATATAGCTTACAAATTTATCAAACAATAGTTTCGATTCTTGAAAGTTTGTCATTAGTATATTTCAGTATATTAAATGTGTTGTTCTAAATTAGTCTATTTTTCCAATCTGCAATTCACTTTAAAAGTGGGGTTAAGGTAACCACATATTTACTACTACTATTACTACTAATAATAAATGGCGGCTTGCATAAAACTTAGGTTACAAAAAACTTCCATGTCTATAATGCATATATTTTCTTTCGTATGGTGTTTTAATCGATGCAGATATGACCTCTAGTGGCATTATCTACTCTTGTGTGCGTTTAAAATGTTTGCAAGCTTCTGATTCGCAAGTTCCTACCAAATTTGAGGAATGGGCTGATTGTGGGTGGCAACGTGTTCCAATATATGAGACAAATGTTATTCAGTTATGAACTTGGGTCTCAAAATGTTCTTCTAAACATCTTACATTTGGCTTTCAACTAGATATCGTGGATTTCTTGAAGGAGATAAAGCAAATTTATCATAATGGAATGGTTTGTGCTTCAGCTGAGAGAGCATCGTGTCATAGGATATACTGTCGATTAATATTTTACTTGAAAATATTGTACGAAGAGAGGAAATATCATGCAGTAAACTCTTCTGAAAATTCCGTACATTTTATAAATACTGTCCAGAATAAAGACGTTACTATTATTAATAACGTTGATACGCTTAATAAGTCTTTCATACGCCCTTTTGCTATATCCTTCCTAATGATACAAATCCTATAGACAATAATTTTAGTGGTTTTAATACCCTTGATGTGCTTAAATGTCTACGGTCTCTCAAGCCTTCCCAAAGCCTTGGTACTGATGGCGTACCTGCCATTGTCCTCAGGAGTTGTGCTGATATTTTGTGTTACCCTCTTACTAACATTTTTAGTGCTTCCTTTTCCGGTAACGTTCTACCTTTTGCATTGAAAAACATTAAAATTATCCCTATACCAAAACCATCTTCTGGTACTGATATTAAATTTAGGCCTATTGTAATTATTTGTCTTTTTTAAAAATTGATGGATAAATTACTTTTACTTCGTCTTGAACCTTCGTTGAAACCTTTTATGGATCCTAAACAATTTGCATACAAACATGGTAGAAGTACATCGGATTCTGCGGTGGTCTTACATCACATTCTTGTTTCTTGTTTAGACAAAGGTGCTAAATATGTTCATAGTGCTTTCCTAGACTACACATCTGCTTTTGACTCTGTACCTAGGGGCCTTTTAATAAATAATCTTTCGTTGACGAGAACAGGATCCTGGGCTAAGAGTTGGTCGCATTCTTATTTTTCTGACAGAATGCAGTATATTGTATATAATGGCAAATCTTCTGTCTCGCTTACAAGAGCCGGTGTTCCTCAAGGTGCCATCCTCTCTCCTTTTCTTTTCTCTTTATTCCTACATGACCTACCTCATTCAAACGAAACCAACTTTGTCAAATATGCAGATGATCTGACTGTATCACTGCCTATCAATTCTGAGTCTGACTGCTCCAAACTTAATAGTTTTCTGTTGAACATCAGCAAGTGGTTTAAATCAAATGGTCTTATGTTAAATCCTTCCAAATGTTAGGCAGTTAACTTTACTTTCAAGCATCGACGTGACTTACTTGAACTAGTTAACTCGCATGATGCCTGTAGTATAGATGGCACTGAAATTGAAACCAAGTCAAGTATTAAATACCTTGGTTTAGTTCTTTCCTCTGACCTTTCATGGTCATCCCACATCTTATCTATCTCTAAGAAAATGTTTCGTCTTACCTTCTACATTAAAACGTTAAGACAATCAGGTATCAATCAACCTTTAGTTGTGAAATTTTTAAACTCCTGTATTTTACCTATTGTACTCTATTGCTCTCCATTAATCTTTCCTAGGCTTCTCAAAAAAGACTTTATCATATTACGAAGAGTATTAAACGCTGTGAGTAGGGCTTGTGGTCTGCCACTGCGTGAGCTCACCAATACTATAGTCAAGAGACACATAAATTACTGTACGAAATGGGCAAAAGCTATAATGTCAGACCCTCTGCACCCCTTTATTCACAACTATCCCCTTGTATCTCATCAGGTAGGACGAGAAGTCAATATAAAAAGTTATATGATCGTACCACTAAGTACAGAAATTCTACAATACCCTATTTCGGTCCGTACTTTATGTGATGAAGACTCTGTTAGACGTGAAACACATAAGTTACTATGTAATTAGCAAAGTAGATCGACCCTTTCATTGTTCATCTTTCTGTATTATATGGTGTCACACTTTCTATCGTTGAATTATAACTTTACTATTTTATTTTAGTTGTTATTACTATTATTACTAAAACTTTATACTTTTATACATATTTTTCTCCGTATTGCAAAAAGTATTTTGCTATGTAACTGCTATAACAACGTTTTATTATTATTACTACTATTATGTATTGTTTATTTTTAATTTTTTTTGTCGGTTTTGAGTAAATTAGATGCAATATTGTACTGAATGCTGAAAATTCCTTGCTGTATCATTAGTACTGTTTTGGGAATAAAGCAAATTATCATTATCATTATTAGTAATATTAATGTATTTACTAATAATCTGCTTCGCTTCCAAAATTCAATTCATGAATATCATACCAGTCACTACTATGAACTAATTCGATGCTTTATAGTTCCTCTTTACTCACGAATTATTAAAATAGTGTCATTTTAACATGACAAAAACAGATGGATATATTCACTTTTACGTTAAATGGTGCATCTACTACTAAATGAACTGAGTATAAGAATTTGACAAAAGTTTGTGATAATACGTAAAAGTTTGTCAGCTAAATAATTTTTATCATTACAGGCCTAACGAGGAGAATTCAGAATGAATTTTCGGAATTTGTGTACTTCAAAACTGCATTTTTAACTTTCTCCAAATTAATACATGTGATCTCATTGGTTACCGTGATCATTAGTCATATAGGAGAACCAGGAAAACATAAAAAGAGAGAGAGATCACAAATAAGGACCGGCAGTGATAAACAAAATCTAACAGAGTAATCCACCTTAATAAACGGGGGAAGCACCTGTTTACAAGTGTTCAGAAAAATCAAAAATTTATTCTCTTTAGTAGCGTAATAAAGCCATTTAGGTGGTCTATGAGAAGAAGTTTGAATTATGAAATATAATTTGACGGCAAAATGAACTTACAAGATTTGTAAGTGTTCCAGCCCTGCAAAAGATCCTCTTTGAATACAGGAGATTTTATTTCGATGTAAATATCTAAATTTTGAAAAACAAGAAAGTTGACATTCAGATAAATTAGACTGAATTAATCATTATGGTACGCACAGAAGAAAAAGCATCCTGACAGAATTACTGTCGAAACTATAGCGAGTTAACTACCATTCACCTGGTAAAGAAATAGGCGAAAACATGAACTACTGAATCCCAGTATAGTAACTAAATAGTTAAGTTCTCTAGTCGAAAAACAGTGCTTTTTAGCTTCTCTCGGAATGGGATGCTGGATACCCATCACAAGAGAATTTCAAATTAGAACAGAAATTTCAAGTACAAGTTGTTTTCAATGACTCTCTAAATCATTCGGATTCATGATGATGCTCACTTTTAGATTCAGAAAATTTTTCCAACTCTCTTCAATTATTTCAAGGTATTTTAATTGTTCAAAATGAAGTTGAAGAATTTCTTCTCCATATTTTGATCAGTTATGAATATTTATCACTGAATAATTAAATGTACCTATTTTACGTCGTGTATTCTCACTGTATGCTTAAAATCTTGACGAAAAAATAACTATCAGGCTTAATTTACTCTTCTATGACCTTTCAAACAATTCCATAGGATAGTTAACTCAGATTTGATTGTCCTTTCACAAATAATTAGTCATTTTTCAACCTAAATTAAATTTAAATTTTTGATTTTAGCTTGAAACCACACAATATTTTTGGTATAGGCATGGAATTTTCAGCATATGATATCGTTAGCCAAAATTTTGTAGCCCGACCATAGATATCAGGTGTGAGTCAGCAGGGGATCGAACACAAGACCATTTGCACGGTCGGAAAGAGTCCTAACCGCTGTGATACCGATGCACCTCAGTAGTTATCATGAAACATGCTATTTTCGTACACTGAATGTCCTCGACACCTTTCTGCATAAATAAGAAGTTGGCGAGAAATTCAATTTTATTATTTTTTTCTAACGAATAATTTTAATCTACCTCACACGGTGTAACTTGTAGTTTGTAAATACTGTTGTCTTGTTCATGTATTATGTATGCAACAGTGAAACAATGTAGTAGTTGAATTATGTTTTCACTATAACTAAACAACATTGAAAAATGTCCAAATTTGTTTTTTTTTTCTATTGTCACTAAAGCCGGACTGGTTTTCGACAAAATGCTTGTTACACACTTTAACATTATTTATTCTGCATCGAACTACAGTGGATATCAGGTGCATTTCTTACATCTGGTTTTTTACATGTAATTGCGCTAAACTGTAAAAACAAACTTGTATTGTTATATCTTTTAATAAGTTTTCTTAGAGGTATAAATTGTGTCATATTAAAATCCTAATCACTATCATAACCTACTGAGATATGCTGTAATTTAGCTGAATACTCTTTAGTTATTTCGTGTTATATAATTTTTAGCATTCAAGTACTGTAAATAATATGCAGTTATACGCCTGTCACTGTGAACTCCTTTTACTTTGATTATGACTGGTTGAAACAGTACTGTTGACTTAACAATATGTTAGGAGAGGATAACGGCTAATGTTACACTTATAGTCCGGATACTGTGTAGGTCAGTGCTTTCAGCTGCATTCGAAAGGGGAAACCAACTATAAACTTGACTTATGACACACGAACATTGTACTGTTAAGATCTAAAAACTGGGGAGTCGAAACTAATCATATTTATTATAATCTTCCAACTTTAATGGATGCAGCATGATTTGCTCATTTCAGAAAAGGTATCCATCAAGTATTGGTTTGTAGGCTTATGATTGATTGATTACAGGATTTCAACATACACTGACATCAGTAAGAGAACCATTGGCAAACCTTGGAGTACTGGACAGCTGTCTCGTCAGTCTAGTTTGGGGTTCCTCAGCAGTATGCATCCGTCTCTGGGGTTCGAACCCAAGACCTTCCGGTTACAAGGCAAACTCGTAGACCATTACGTCACTGGAACTCAGTCCAATGGCGCGTGAATTTCGAATTCTCCTGGTTGGTGATTTACATAATGTAACCGCCAACCAATGTCTTAGACAAGTATTTCTCCACACTCTCAGCCTGCCGTACCCTACTGGTCACGACTTCTCACTAGAACACCAGGTAAATATCCAACCTGAATAGGGCCAGTCGTGAACTGACAGAAGTTGGAATTCACGTGCTGACCATTGGATCGGGTCCCAGTGGCTTAATAGTCTACGAGCTCGCCTTGTAACCGGAAGGTCCTAGATTCCAACCCTAGTGGTTGGTGCGCACTACTAAGGAGTCCCTAACGTGTGCAAAACAACTGTCCAGTACTTCAAGGTTTTCCAGTTGTTTTCTGACCGGTATCAGCTCACGATGAAACCCCATAACCAATTATGATTAGTCAATGACTCTACAGGAATCAAATAAACTACCCTTGAAAATTCTATCGAAAATAAAAACAAAATCAACTTACAGTATTTTAAGGTTTGACAGATGGGAAAATAGATTAGACGGTAATAAACCCAATTCATTCGAACTAATATATCTGTAATTAATATGAAAAGAGGTGTTTGAAAAATTCATTGCTTTTAGTTAAATGAAAGTCTCATCATATACATCTACATAATATACACGACACACCAAGCTTTTCACTCGTAATATCGAGACTGTTGTACACAACTGGAGAGTGAGAAGTCTGCGCAAGAAATAAGATGGTAAATCTGACACCGTTACAACTTACTGATATTTTGTATAGAACAGTTTAGCAGACTAATGTGAACTGTATTGAACAGTCCAGTTACTCAGTATGAAATACACACTTTGCTGTGTATTTAGTGCCAATCCACACAGAATAATTTTGTAAGGATACATACGACAACTTTAAATGGTTTCTAAGGTTAAGGTCTATCTGTGACTGTCAAGTAGTACGAGAATAAAGGAAACCATGAAGTAATATAGACATTTAAAAAAATCTAAATATTTCTCTTCTGGACAAACTGAAGGAGCAAAAATTAAATTCAGAATAGTATTCTACTCCGATTAATGGTTAAAAAGAGATAAATATGTAAGATAAACAACACATACAAACTTCATGTTTATGTCTGTTCAAAGCATTTCACGCGTTACTCTAACCACGTTTGTTTATTTTACAGATTTTAGTATGAATATAGTGGAAGGCGCCATCTTGGTAGTTCTACGAACTGAAAGTATTATCCACTGTGTGAATTCCAGTTTCTGTTTTATTTCAAAAAATTCCTTATAAATTTCTTTTTATTTATTTTATTGCTTTAGTTTGTTTACTAGCGGTGAAAAGACCGGTTCAGTAATGAAGACAGAGGAAGTTATTTTGTCTACCATGTTCGTAGCAAGCTTATTCTAATAAACCTAGGCTGGACAGATTCAATTTTAATTATCTCATTTTCTTATCGTTTTGTTTAAGTCATCTTTCAAATTAACCGGTTTATTTAAAGGAATGAAGAATAAGAGAAGTAAAAATGCTATGATCTTGAGACAAAATCAGTGTGATCAGATGTAATTCAAGGATGGATTAATGTATTTCTATCAGTTACTCTTTGAAATGTGTTCAATGTATTGAATGAAACCAGAGGTCAGTGGCAACGTCTATGACAGCAGCTGTCACTGGGTGACGCGAGTTCGAACCTCAGAAGAGACACGAGTTCCTTCAAGGTTGCAGATACGCCTTGCTGACTGGTGACTGCCAACTGGCACGAAACCTAGGTAAGGCAAGGCTTCCTGTGGCCGATTGCCTCCAACTATCTAATATCATCAAATCAATGTAAGCCGTGGCAGCAAACTACCTAAAATGGTGACCACATTACTAACCTGACTGATAGAATTTAGCCAGCACCGAAGAAAGGACTAAACACGTTACACTAGTTACTAGTGTCAGATCAAAGATCTGAATAAATATTTAAACATCCCGTCGAATAATAATAAAACTTATACCTAGATGCATAGCAATGTTTTGTTGGTGAATATACCATTGAGCAAGCACTTGAACAAGGGAGAAGTAACCTTCCAAGTAACTTAACATAATGTATACTTAATCATCATCTAATATACTTCGTTGTGAATAACTAGACTAGAATTTTCAAAACAAATAATGTAATTCGTCGTATTAATGTGTTCCAACCTGAGTTGATTAAAGCTTGAGGCATCATTTCGAAGTATTTATTGATTACCCCGATTAATTTAGTTTATTTATGGACAAGTTTAAGCAGAAAATGATGTAATTCTACAAATTATTTTTCAAAAGTCGCTCAACCTTTACGTCTTTGTTAAGAAAAGTAGGGTACATTTTGTCTTCAGAAGGAAAGAATTATTTATGGTGGATGTAGATAGGTTTGTAAAAAGCCTCAATTATCTAATGTGTCTCTCACCTATTATGTAAATTCGTGAAACAGTGCCCACTAGCATCCAGATTTTGGTCGACATTCTGTTATGTGATGCGCATTACTGTTAATAACAACTTTTCAGTCTAGCGGGAAAATTTATTAGCTATCCATTCTTTTAATTAAGCATGAAAACGCTGTTTTAGGAGATTTTCCAAACTTTACGATGCAAAAACCCTCTAATTACTATTCTTTGCTCTTTTTGCAACATATAAATTAATAGTGATTTTATTTCTATTAGTGGTTAAAAAAATATGCAATAGAGTTTAGTAAGTAATTAAATTTTGTGCAATTTGAATGGAAACAGTGAAGGTCTGCAATCCACTGTGTACCACTCCTATTATTTTTCTTTCCATTTTCCTGTACACAAAATGTGACATTCAGTGCAACTGTAATGCTTTATATTTTTTTTATTTTTGTGTTCCTATACGTTCCCACTTGAAGCCCTTTGTTCCACTAGGAACCCAAGGGAACAATAATAATAACAATTACGTTCCCAGTAGAACATAGGGTTCCAAGATAGACCTTTGAAGTTACGGTAGCAGTGATGTTAATTTTTACGGGGTGAGGTTGTTTGCCTGATGCTCAACCTTCGCTTTTCGCCGGCCTTACTATCAACTTAGCTAGGTTTAGGAGTGCATCCGCCGGAGACCGAACTAAGAACCACGCGCATAGTTAGCCAAGATTCTACCACTGAACCACGGATGCTTCAAAAGAATATCGAAAATGGAACAGCTATATTCTAATGTTTACTTTCTGCTATCTCTTCGTCACAAAAGACATCAAAATTATGTAATGAATAGACTACATTTTTAATAAGTTAAAACAGTCGTAATTGGTAGGCATTAGTAAAAGTAAATTAAGATGGTGCCGATTATTATCAGCTCTAAAAACGACCGAGAATTTTAGACAAAGGGAATATTATTTTGTGATAATAAGGTCTGAAATATTTAGACAGTCACATATCACGTCGTTCATTTGATGCTTAACCGTGCATCATCCTACTTTATTACAAGGAAAAATAACAAAGATGCAAATGAGAATCTATGGTATTGATAATCAGTTTAAAACCCCTCACTCAGCTGGTGTTTTCTGTGATCTTTATTAGCAGAGTCTTCTCACATAAAACGTTCTCATCGGAAATAAATTTCTATCATGCTTCCAGTCCGACTACCCTAACAATAATTCTAGCTTCCATCTCTTGATACTATAGAGCAGTTGAAGGTAACTTCATAAGAATACAGATTTCAGAAATTCGGGTAGAAGCAGTTACAAAGTTGGACTACCACAACAATGGTCATCTCGGAAATAGATGTAGTAATCTTGAATTCTGCTGAATTTGACCATTCAGTCTAAAAATTTCATTTTTTTAATTTGACATTATGAAGTCTGAAGTATCACAATTTAATCAAGTCCAAAAATATGAATGATAACTGAAAGCCCATTTTTCCATATGATCGAATCAATTTAGGCTTTTTGCAGCTATGTTTACTCCTTCTGAGGAATGGTTGTACTTTTAAACTTAGTTCTTAGAGTGTTTTAAACATAGAAATGTCTTATTTCCTTCTAAGGAAGTCAATATCCTAATTTGAAGAAAACTCACTGTTTCATATATATTGAGTTGATGAGAGTTATAAGAAGCAAAACCTGTCTACGGGATTCCTGTTACGTGCATTTATATACATGAAAATATTTCCAATATCACATTTTGTAATACATCCTCTGGCACAGCGGTTAGGACGCTCGCCGACCATGCACGTGGTTCGGGGTTCGAGCCCTGGCCTCCGACGCACTCCTTTACCTCGCTAAGCCAGAAGTAATGCTAGCAAAGAGGAAAGGTTGGGCGTGAGGCTAGCAACCCCATCCTGTAAAATAAACACTGCTATATAAACTTCAAGCCACTAGCTTGGAGCCCTATGTTCCACTGAGAACGTAAAGAAAATAAAAAAATAATGCATTCTCTGCGTAATAAATGAACCACATTCTCTGACTGCTAGAATTAAAATTTGTCATAACAGTCTGTCAGGAAATACTTGAAGTATTTAGTAAGTTACGACAATGGATTTATTTCCGAATAAGGCAACGATTCTACTGTTTTCGTAACTTAGGCGTGATTTTATTAGAAACTAACAGTGTATTTTTAAAGAAAAAAAGTAGTCTACGTTGGATCAGCTGTTGAGAGTTCAGAAACTTAATATATGGAAAGAACACTGATCGGAACTTCCCTATAAGTAATCGAAATAAATTTATTTGATTCTGCGACGTGGTTTATACTCTAATTTTTATAAGAATACAACATAATGAGTGTTCTTGTCGTGATGTGTAATTGTAATCATACAACTGGAACCTAAGTGATCATGTAAACTGAATGATCTGGGAATCTTTCGATAAAAAAATACATGCATTGAGACACTTTCACAGTGTACACGCATAGACTTGCGGATAAATTACACATATTGTAAGAAAGCTTATAAACTATTTTGGTATCTTTAATCTCTAGAAGTTAACAGTATTCATACCTGTGTTCGCGTGGGTAGCTCAGAATGCTCGCCGACCACGCCTCATGTGGTCCGGTTTCGATCCCCGGCCGACGCGATCGTTTACCTCGCTAAGCCAGTAATAAGGTTGGTAAGGAGGGAAGGTTGGACATGAAGCTAGCAACCCCATCCCGTAAAAATAAAAACCACTGCTACAAAAACTTCAAGTCTCTAGCTTAAACTCCCATGCTCTACTGGAAACTTGAAGGAACAAAGAACCCTCTGGAAATTCATGTGTTTAGACTAGTAGGTTTAACTGCTATCAAAAACTTAATACTTTATTAAACATTACAAAAATCATTATTACAAGACCAACCATAAAATTGAAAGAATGCAGTAGGTATTTACCAGTATCACTATTATTGAACTGGAGTAAAAAGAGAATATAGAGAACACCTCAGAATCAATCATTTTGTGTATTAATCTTAAATTATGACTTCTGGATGTTAATCAGCAGTCAGAGACACTTATTAATATCATTATGCCACTCTCTTTGATTTTCTTGATTATTACTTATGTGACCCAGTGGATTACACATTATTATTATTCCCTTGTTTTCCGAGTGGAACATAAGGCTACAAAAATACATCTTTACTTTGTTCTATTTTCTGCAGTCTCCTTCAGCTTGGTGCACGATAGCCCATAATCTCTCGTCTCCTCCTACTCCTCCTCCTCCTCCTCACCACACGATCTCCTCCGTGGCACCCTTGCAGTGACGACCCACCTGATCGATGGCCTGTCGCGTGATGTCATTCGATGGCCTCCTCGAAGAAAGCCAATCCATTTCCATTTTCTCCTATGTATTTATTGAGCAGTCAGCCCTTGGTTGTTCAGTTCCCAGCCAGAGTTTCTTGTTGCTAATTCATCCCAATTGGCCATTTAATGTTCATTTTGGAGCTAACGATGTTGGTAGATGTTGGTAAAAGTCTTCAATCTCTTTAAAATCCTTTTCATCACTGACACGCAGTGCAAGTTTCTCACCCGTACAGAAGAACTGACTGACTTCACATTTGTGTCAAAAATCCGAATCTTGTTCTTTACACTGAGTCAGTGCAGAAGATTTACGAACTACTTTCAGGTTGATAAAGGAGTAACTTGCCTTTTGCGATTCTAGCTTTGACATCGCCTATTCCGCCTGTAGTTGAAACTGTGCTTCCTACCTGGATAAGTGAAGGAAGTAACCTCTGTGAAATCTCTCCCACTGATGGTGATTGTTGCTGGTTGTTGTTGCTGCAGATTACACATTATATTATTATTATTATTGTATCCTTTAGTTCCTAGATGAACATAGGGCTTCAGCTGCGCACCTCCATTGACTTCGGTTTTCTGCCAACTTTTTCACCCCGCTCCAAGTCTGTCCACATGCTTTCATCTCCGCCTCACATGACCTCCTCCAAGTCACCCTTGGACGACCAACTCGCCGCCTCCCTTTCGGGTTCCACTCGAGGGCTTGTCTAGTGATGTCACTCACTAGATAGTTTCCTCAGCGTATGGCCAATCCATCTCCATTTCTTTCTGCCTATTTGTTTCACAATCGGTTCCTGATTGGTTTGCTCCCAGAGATCCCTGTTGCTGATCTTTTCTGGCCATCTGATCTTGAGTATTGAGCGGAGACAGCTGTTAATGAAGGTTTGAAGTTTGTTTGAGATGCTCTTTATGACGCGCTGGCCAAGTCTCTGATCCGTATGATGAGTAGCACTGACTGACTTCACATTGGAGTTGAAAATCCGGGTCTTATTTTTGATGCTGAGTGCTGTTGACCCCCACACAGACTTAAGGGTAATGAAAGCCTGTCTTGCTTTTCCGATTCTGGCTTTGATGTCCTCGTCAGTTCCGCCTGTAGTTGAGACGATGCTTCCCAGGTAGGTGAAGGAGGTTGTTTCTTTCAGGTTCTTCCCACTTACGCTGATTGTTGTCTGTTGTTGTTGTTGCTGTTGGCTAGGAATCTTCATCATCTCTGTTTTATCTATGTTCACGTGAAGTCCTTTCTTTGATGCTACTTCTGCCAACTTGTTACTTTTCACTTGCATATCTTCCAGTTTATGGGAAATCAGACATATATCATCGGCGAAATCCAGGTCCTCCAAGTCTTTTGTGTCAGTCCATTTTATGCCTGTTCCCTCGTTGGTTGCCGTTGTCTGTCGCATTATCCAATCAAGTGCAATCAGGAAGATCATTGGTGATAGTAGACAGCCTTGCCTCACACATTACTATCTAAATATTTCGGTTTTCCGAATGAAACTACAATAAACATTCACTTCAAGCTGTATGCTTTGCTAATGACAAACATAATTCCATTTATAATTTAAGTTTAATACTCAACTCTAAGTTTTATTCATAAAAACAATTTAAATCACTTGTTCAGTATTTTATAATTTTAATTTGATTAAAATCAAATTTCCAACAGCTTGTATTTTCGCCCTTATTTGTAAAGTGAAATTATTTATTTATCAGTTTACAAAATAATCTTCTCAAGTTCCATGTTCTTTTCTCAAATTTTAGTGTCATTTAAAGCTTTAAGTCAACTATCTTCAATATGTATTATATATACTCTATCCTTAGTTTCAAATTGTTTTAATTTATCTTAAATGTTGTTAGTGTAGTATAAATAAAAATTAAAATAACATATTTACTGATAGAAAGGCTTAAATTAATGAAGACATAAAAATAAAAAATAAAAACAATCATAACTTACAAAGAAGAAAGTTCTCTCAGATTACTAAACGCTTCAGGATGAACATATGATATTTGATTGTTGTCTAAAACACTAGGCGTAAATTAAAAAATAAAAAGGTGAAAAGAAAAACTATTAAAGATATTCAATTCGAAAATGAATTAAATTTTAATTAATTATATTTAAGCTACAGACAAAACATATTTAAATCATCATCATCATCATCAACAACACCATCATACGAGATTTCTACTTTAACTGCCACATTATAGCCTCAGTGAAATTCTATATATATATAAAATCATTTAAAGATTTGTATTCGCTGAAGGCATACATTGTAGGAGAAATGAAATTATTAGACTTGTCTGTTCATACTGTCTACTTCATAAATAGGCCAGCAGCTTGTGAAAGTGGAGGGGAGGGGCTGAGGTTGAATTCATGTGCATCATGTCCAAAGATAAATATGGCAGTTTCTGAAATAAACGGGATTATAAAATGTGTTTCTGTTGCTGTGTGCAACTACCACCTACCTAAATAGACTGGCAAGAGTTGAATAGGTAATAAAATCAAGACAGAGTTATAAACAAAGATTTATTTTATGTTTAGTGAATAATAAATAGATAATATCTGATTACAAGATCACAGGAAGTGGTTTCCCTTCTTCAATATGGACATCATAAACTTACACCGCATTAATCGATTACACAATAGCTGGTCAGTAAGTTTATGTGAAATAAAATGATATGATAAACTTGGAATTACATTCTGTCAGCTTAATTTCTGGTAAAATATCTTCTGGCGCCTATGGATATGACGTATCTGCAGACATGATAAACATGAAGTTCCTTGAGACACCGGGGTGGGGACGTTTTCGTTCATTGAGTCAGTGACACATAAAACAATGAGATCTTGACGGCAAATGAAAACGAGAGGATGAAGTGTAACAGTCATTTCTACAGACTCAAGGCTTAAAACAACTACACAATGACTTGTCTTCTAGATATGCACCTGATGAAATAAAATTTTTTAAGTATTGGTTTTGCGGGCATTTTGTTTGATTGGTTGAAGGACTTCATCATGAGGCGATATCGGTTACAGAACCACTGGAAAACCTGGAAGTATTGGACAGCTGTTTCATCCTTGCTTGGGATTCCTTATCAGTGCGCACCCGACGGGGTTCGAACCCAGGACCTTCCGGTTACAAGGCGGACCAAATAAAACATAACTCTGGGCTTAAAACAGAAAACACCCAGATGGCAAATATATATAAGAGGTTGGGATAATTAAGAGTAATAATAAAAATACCCGTCTAAGAATAACATATTTCGGTCAAACGTTCAACTTCCTTTGGATAATACAATGCCTAGTTTCTCGGGGCTACTGACATAAAGTTTCTGTTGTGATTATACAGGCTGTCATTAAATGATCAGCTCGAAAATGAGTTGTCTCCCTACTCTTAAAAAATGTAGCTGTATTCTTGAGTTGGTCATTAACAATCAAAGATAATGTTATCTACCTGTATAATGTTAGCCACGGTGCCTGAAAATCGTATTGTCGAAGAGGGCTATCCAACAGGCTTGAATACCATCCCACCATATATCTTATACACCACTTAAAATGTTGATTTATATGCCTAAATGTCATGTCTATAAGTTCCTTCTACGAAATGATAATCAAGTTTTAAGTGTCCATGACAAAAACGTGTTATTTAATGAGCTCTAAGTTCAGTAAAAACAATGAAGTTGAGAAATCTTTGAACACAGAAAAGATAAAACAATGTGAAATGTTTTATAGGTAAATTCATGCTTAATACATCCTTTCTAGCAATACATCAATATTTTCAATTGTTGGTTTACAGGGTTCCGGTTGGTTACAGGTTTAATCATTAGCTAATATCAGCTAGTTTAGAAAACCAGGAAGTACTAGACAGTCGTTTTGTCTTTCTTTGGGACTCTTCAGCGGTACTCACGCACAGGTGTTCGGACCCAGGGTATTTTGATTACAAGACAACCTCATCTTGTATTGTGCGAGAAATCATTATCATATCACTACTACTAAGTTATTAGTACTGTACTTAGGATAATCCTAATCATTAAGAAGTACAATAAGATTATAATCAATAGTTAAAAATATGGTGCAAGCATAAAAGCATTTACACAAATCAATTTATACCTACACTTTTCTCAAGCTTTTGTAGTTGACGAATGCATTCGCTGGGAGTGAAGCCAGTTCATTACTATCCATATTCCTAAAATGAGAAAACAAGTATCAAAACAATAAAGGGATCAGAAATATTTTCTCCAGTGAACAAGGAAAATTTCTAGTCAGTGTTGTTGGCTGAAATTCGTGGTTTTTGTTGGTATTTTCGACTTTACCAAAAAGATCATGCTGTGTCAGAATATGTATTCCGTTACACCAGATACTACTTTGTGTGTTATTAGTCTAGTAGGTAACTCTCCGGCACTAAGTAAGCAGATCAAATCTCACTGTGATCTCTGTTTCTGAATGTTACTGATGTGTCTGAAACTTAACAAATCTCATCTTTTGGATTCCTATGCAAGCAAGCATGTAACAAGTTATATTAGATCACAAATTTATTTAGATTTGTTAGTGTACATTTTCAGATAGTTTGTGTGCATCTTAGATGGAGGGTTTCCATGAAATATGAAGCCTTGTGTCTATAAAACACTACTTTCTCACTTCAGGAATAATGCACATTGTATCAAAATGCTGAACTCTATTTCATTTAAACATTTGCTACAATATTTTCATCCAAAAACAGGATAATTACCAAAATTTAATTTTATAGCCTACATTTGCACAAACAAAGAATACAATTAAATAAACAGGATTTTATGCCTTAATATAGGCAAATGTACTTTGGAAATGCTGTAAATTAAAGGATTTTGGACAGTTATATTTTACACATATCACAATTAAACCTATTTGTTTAATACACAGCAATAGAAACTGTACATAAAACCTTCTATTCCAAACTTAGTTACAATATGTCAGTATCGCTTGATTCCTGAATTTATTTGTGCCAATATTTATGGGGATATTCATCGTCCTGTTAAGTAGGCTTTATTTTAAACTTTTGTTAGTAATTTCAGAGAAAATTTAACTGAAGTCAGTGTTTTATCACAGATTACATAATTCATGTGGGGCATCCACATGAATTAATTAATTGAAAATGTTTATGTATATAACTTTGATTTAAAGGTAGGTAGCCTTTTGGTAGGGATTTAGTTTCACTGGATGGAGGATTCCATCATGAGCTGACATCAGTTAGAGAAACCAATTGAAAACCACCCGGAAGTACTAAACAGTTGTGCGCACTCTTCTCCAGGGTCCGAACACAAGACCTTCTGTAAACAAGGTGAGCTCGTAGACCACTAAGCAAATGAGACCCGTTCCAAGGGCTCATGAATTCATGGGCTTCGGTTCGAACCCCGGCAGGTGCTTAATGCTGAAGGCTTGATTTGTCCAGAAACTCTCATAAGAAGGTCTTCAAATCAGCCGGTCAACTACACTAATTATTAAAATCTAAATAAGCTAAGTTAATTAAGGACGCATTTATTCTGCACTGAAAATATTCTAGTACTTGTTTGAGAACACCGAATCGTTTTTTGGAGAATATACACCCAAGACCTTTTCTACAAACAGTTGTCAATGGTTTAATAGTATTTTAATGTGTATAATACAATTTCTTGTTTTACTGAGTAAGCTAATTACGCTCGATAGTCTCTAAGCCCGGGTTTACAGTGCGTTGTCAAGCTAAAAGATACAGTATCCCCAAAGTAACTGACAGAGTCGACAACGCTGCAATGAAATTTCCATGTTACCGATTCATTCAAATGAAGATTCCTAAAGTGAAAAGACACATGACAATTTTATATTCTCTGGTTACTACTGCACGCTTCTGTCATTAGTCTGGCTTTACTGACCAGAGAATAGGCTAGACAATTTTCTAACTGAGAAAAGATAACACGCAGACTACAAATAACTTTTCACTATTTCACCAAAATTAGTTTTCTATACTTTCTACTAAGTGACATTTTAAAATTCCATCAGTAACCACTCAGGATGAATACATTTCTGTAATGCATTTAGTCTATAAGGTGCTGTGGAGTTAGTTGCGAATGCTTCAGGTATGTAGTCTGTTACAGACTGTGTTCAGTGTATGCTAATAATTGTTTAGAATGTGATGAAAGTACTGGATGGTTCAACAATGACTTCACAGTATTCCAGTAAACTGATGCAGTATATTTATTCATTCTAGTCTAAACTGACTATTATAACAGTCGCAGCAAATAACGTAACTCGTAGATTCCCGTTAGTCATAACAATTAAATAGCCACGCTTATCGTTATTTGAAGTATGGATCTTTCCTGTCATTGGTTTACAGACTGGAGAGGCCACTGGCGCTACTCGTGGAAATTTCACATTCTTGTCTTTAGTAAAACTTAATTACTTCTTTAATATTAGCTGAATATATTGTCCTTACTGAACCCTGAAATCGTTTGTGTTTCTAATGAGGCTTTCTATAGCATAACACTTATCACTTCAAACTCAAACGTTATTCACTAAACTAGTAAATTTCAGCTGAGGAGCTTTGCAAGAAGAAAAGAATGCAATCCATGAATTTCACTGGTAATAAATACAAAATCGTGATATTCAGTTGGGGTGATATTTGCGTGCAGAGAACACCATAGTGTTGTTCTCGTCCCTTTAATACTGTTAATAATTATTGCATTCAACTGATCAATTTTTATCATAGCGCTCCTTTAGTAGACCAGGATAACTTATAATGAAAACATGAGTCGTGAGTAGCTAAAATAAAGTACTTGCTGTACACCTATTGGCTGAACTTATCAGCAATAAAAACGCATTACTTTAGAAAGAAATTAAACGCGTGCTTTTTCTTTTAGTTCCTATTATCCTGTATACTCTGAGTGTTAATGTATATATTTTGAATAATTAAATATTCTTATGCCTAAGTAGCAATCTTTGCAGTCGAGTTTTCTGTCTGTCAACAGTCTTAGGTATTTCACAATAATTCTACTATTTTTTAAGGTTAAGTCTAGACTAGTGACTAACTGAGATAAAATGAGAGTTTATTGGTGACATGATTGACTAATTTTTTCGCTATATTCAATTAGAACCGTTTCGTGAGTATATCTTTATGATTCATTCCAAGAAACACTTTGACACAATAAGTTCGTCGATATGATCTAACAGGTGTTATTAAAGTGACCCATAAGAAGACAATTTTTCATAAAAAATAAACTTGCACGGAGACCCACCCTTTAACAAGTGAAAGATGAAAGCAAATTCGATTATTTGGTTGACAATAAAATCAAAAATCTTGAGAGAATAAAACTAATAAAAGTATTTCATTTGTAATGACTCTAACTGTAGAAGACGAAAAACTTGGTATCGGAATTTGGTATCTCTATACAGCTACATTATGTGCACCTTATATGAAGATTGTCATTGACACAGATCTTCCGTGTTGAGCTACTTCCGATCTTCGTATTGTGTTTCTTTGTCTTCTTTTCATGTCTCCTATATTTCGCCGCAACGCTGAATCATTTGCTTTCTTTGACGTCAAATCTATCTCTCCGCTATTGGATTTTTATGCCAATGAACATCTCTTTATATACTACCGATATATCTTGTCAAAAGCTCACTCCACAACTCTACATATGTGTAAGAAAGTTAAGACCTATCTTAGAATAAACTACTAAGTATAGAATCTAGCTGGCTGATTTAAAAGCCCCAGAAATTTACTACCAAAAAGGTTTGATAGTGAATTAAACTCACTAAGATAATATCTATATCTAAAGCCTAAATATTATTATTATTGTTAACTGCAATATAAAAGTATGTATCATATTTTGTGACCAATATTTAACTTTAGAAACGCATTCATTAATAGTTACCCTCTTTGCATCTAATGGTGTTGTACTCAGCTTGATTAAAGAAATTAAGCATAACGTATGAAGTTTATAGGTTTTGGAGCATTTGATTAGACTAGGTTTTCACATGAATTCACATCAGTCCATATGGTAACAAGTATTTTGCGGTGTCGCAAATTCAGTCTTCCGGGATTTAATTAGTGCATGAAATCTGTCTGTCTGTAATCGACATAGAACTTTGCATCGATTTGCGGCAGTTCAAGTCACCACACCCCATGTAGCACACAAAGAAAGAGGAAGTAGAAGTAATGCATAATAGAGACAGTAAACAGAGGTGTGAGACAAAGGAATAGTAATAACGAAGAACAATATAGTTTCATTGGAAATCATAAGTCACAGGGAGTGGATGCATCTGTGACATTGAGAACGACTTCGAGTCATTTCACCAATTGTTTCCAACCATTGGTTTTTACCGTCCCGAGGACCCCAGCCAGGAAGTCTACACCTTCCTATGTGGCTGGCTTAAACTAACTGTGGTGGATTTCATTGACTGGTGCCATGTTTTGGTTTGACCTCCGCTAGCTCTTTTCCAGCCTGACCCTATATCAGCTAACATTGCCAGTCAGTCGAGGAAAGCGATGACTAGGCATCCGTAACGCATGTCCTAACCATCTCAGTCGATGTAATTTAACAGCCTCGTCGACTGATTTCCCCTCTCATATACCTAGCACTGGACGCCTAACCTCAATATTGCTCACCTTATTATACCACTTCAGACAGGAGATAGAACGCAGGCACAGTGCATGAAATATCCGTTGATTTGTAAAAAAAATCATTTATGTCACAGATGGTGACTGTGTTTCATTTTACAAGTTAAGTGGGTTCAGAGGTGCCGTTCTGAACGTATATCACATATTCTCAGAGCTTGTCTAAATGAGACACTTTTAACTTACTGATTGTTTAAAGTTCAGCTTCATCCTAAATGATGCCCAAAACTACTTAGTCAGCCTTCGTTTTCAGAGTCTGACTATCTGCCATGATTTCTGGCTATAAGATGACTAGGATGCCACTGAAAGTACCATTCTAAATGAAGTCAGACTGAAGAGAAATATCCACTCAGTATCCATATACTGAACTATAAATAATTTGTTTTATTTTAACTGAATTGCCTCATGGTTATTAAAAAATGGAGTCTACGAATAGTTTAAATCTTTTGTGCATAAGTGAAAGTGATTTTAGTAACAACTTTATACTGAAGAATACCGCTACAGTATCTCTAATCTTCAAAATAGTATAAGTCATACATTTTAGCTGCTAAGCATATTATCTGTCAATAAACGGAGGTATTCCCTATGGAACTGAGGGAGAGAAAATGAATAGCAGTAGAGAGACATAAATTTGTGATCCGTGTCAAATGTGAGTCAATAAAAATAGACGTTTTAATAAACTCTGTCTGAATATTTATTCATGAAACTGGCAAGAAATCATGGTAGATTCCCTCAGTGGAACTACTTTCTTGTCATCTTTAACAACAGATGATACTAGCCTATATCACACTTTTCTAGACATAATGCACTTTACTAGTGTACGAAAATAATATTTGAGGTGATGAGCGTGTATCTGAATAAGCTTTTCAAGTTTCAGTCATCTCAAAACAGACTTCATTAGACACTTAACGAAAAATAACTGCTTGAATTCACCTTGTTTAAATTTATCAATATACAGTTTTCTTTCTAGAAAAATATGTTAGCGCATTTTCATACTAACGCTTTTGAAGTTAAATATATTCAAAAAATAATAATGTTACTTACAGTTCCATAATATCTTGGGGTAAATCATTTGGAATAGCTTTCAACCCACGTCCTTGACAGTTAGCCACACCTTCAATTGAGCAGTCACAAATTCCATCACATGATGATGTACTTGTAACTGTGCATTCTGTTGGAGCCTTGTGTAACATTTCTGAGTTGACTAGTGTGAAGCACATTGAAAATATTGGTTATATAATTAGGAAAATTAAAAGACTTTAAACAATTACATTTAAGAAAAGAAAGTCTCAAGTAATTACATATTTGCTACTTTCTATTATCGTATAAGTTAATTAACACCAAGGAGTACTTTTATCTTAGCATACTTCTAGAGGAAAACCTGTAGGCTTCTTATGTGTAGAGCGGAAGCTGTTATACCCGCATAGCTAATGAGTCACGAATGTATCGTTAAAGCAACTACTAGATATGAATCTATGCTTCCTCCCTTAAGGAAAAAGGTTATGTCACACAGAATAAAATAATATACTTGTGGTACTAATGAACATTAAATTTTGAAGTTAATTCTACTGATTTTGTTTTCCATCACTTTAGTTTAATATCCGTGATGAATCCACGTTGTTTGAATAAATGAAAGGTTAAGAATTGAATCAGCCTTAAACACGATCACTGGTCTCTTCTATACTTCACTGGTTTACCCTTTATATTTAGAATAAACTTTCCTGAACAACTAGATGTAGGATTATTCTAATCAAACAAAGTAGAAAGTCTATCACTACTTGAATTGTCCTTTTTATTTGAATAAGTTAGTTTCAACATACATCTACAACTCTAAATACTTATATTCATGGATTTACAATGTGTGAAATGTCTTCTCACTGACGTTGCTCCTTTTAAATGAGCTCATTACAAAAACTGAAGGATGAAATAGAGTGTTATATTTGAGGTTAACAAGAAATAAATAATGTTGATTACTGAATACAGATGCAGTAGTTGACTGGCCACACGCTCATCTTAGGACTTGATGTTTCTGTGTTTGATTGGTCAGGGGATTTCATCATTAGCTGACATCAGTTAGAGAACCACTGGAAAACCACTTGGAAGTACTGGACAGCACCTTTGTCAGCCTAGTTTGTGACTCTTTATCAGTACACACACCGGGGTTCAAACCCAAGATTTTCTGGTTACAAGGTGAGCTCGTAGTCCATTAAGCCACTTGGACTTGATCAAATAGCCCATGAATTCTAACTTCTGCCAATTCATGAAATAGAGCGACCACTTCGCAGTGTCTTCTACGATGAGTTACTGCCTCAATTTCAACCTGCTGCACCCTACTGGTCACGGATTTCAACCAATCAAACTAAATCCCTACAAAAACCAATACTTGAAAATATACATAAATCTAGTAAGTCTTCCCATAAGTAAATGAATAACAAAATGGTTAACCATTATAAACAGGCTACTTACCAGGACACTGCAATGCATCAAATACTCCTTCGTTTAATGGATATCCATGCAGACTTGGATCCATACTCAACGATGAACATACTGCATTAGATTTGTGCAAAATAGCCTGACGATTTGTGACAAGAAATTCTTTCAAAAATGGTTGCAGATAACAGTCACATCGCAAAGGATTTTCCTTTAAATCACTTTATGTTAAAAAAGGGACAAGAAAATAGTTACTAAGCGTAGGAAACAACAGTGGTAGATAGTAATAAAATCAGTGAGAATATTTATCAGCAAAAAGCATTAAGCACTCTGACGAATGCTAGCAGGCAGTCGTTTGCAGTAAGAACTGAAGAATGATTCCTTTACGATGTTTGAATAAATGTTTTGCAGTAAACGAAGTGCATCCAAAAGACGCCGTGATCAATAGGCGTCTAAACCTCAAGAGCTTTCAGTACTCATTAGTTAGCTGAGAGAATTTTCATCCGGATAGTTTATTTTAGGCTGCAATAAAATGTTCTTTTAAATACTACAGTCGGTCATTATGAGGGCAGAATAGTTGTGTCTTCAAAACAAACGCTGTTATGTTACATGTAGGTAGAAAAACCAATAGAGGGGTACTGAGTTAAACCTTTAAAATTAAATACCAGAGTATCAGAGTCGTATCAGATGCATTTTCAATTACAAGACTATGTTGAGAGGGTGCACCTGTCAATTCACTTAAACCTGATGAAACAAAGACGAGAAACGCTCAACCATGTAATGTACGTTTAGAAGCGTGAATGCAACAAACGTAATTATGAATCAGTATCGTCGACATAATTTATTCTGACTAATTTACAAAAAGGCAGACTACTAAAATAACTAATTTACAGCAACAGAAAAATATATTTTATGACTGAAGTTTTGAGATTGCAAGAGACTTTCATCCTAAGCGCTGAATAATGTAAACGTAACCCCAAAGCTTCATTGGAATTATACTAATGTTTAATTCGTTTCTGTGTAACTATAATTCTCTCACTGTTGTAAACAAACGAGTCTTTCATCCTGAGGTATTACTCCAAGACTCAGACTGCACATTTTATCAAACTCACGATTTAAACCAGCGTTGTTCGAGATGAAAATTCACTAAAGCTTTCTTTGAAAACCAAAATATTCGAATAATAAAATTTGATCTGGCTGATGCTATAAGGGACAATCAAGACGCCAGGCGAAAAGAGTGACGTTATATACTACAAATTAGCCGAAATGAGTAGTTGGAAACCACTTGCAAAAACAGTAATGTTGGCTAGCCGGATCGAAGTGACCTTAACACCAAATCGCCATTTAGGCCGTCTAGGGCTAAATTCTTTAGTAGTTTACTCAGTTTAACTCAGCTCACACAGCCAAATCAATTTTGAAACACACGAGAAGTCATTAAAATAGATCACTTTGATCTTCTTTGTATGAATAAATCATTACTTGTAAATATTTAAGGGATTCATTTTGTTTTCACAGTTTAATAGCGATCAGAATCACAATAGTCTTTTGGCTACTAATTGTAATTAGCGTTTGCTGATACATAATATACATCATAGACTGGAACCAATTAGGGAACTTTTGAAAATTTGGAGCTATAGACAAATCTCTTTTTGATTTTTTGGTTCTCAGTAGTGAATATGTCACTATTTTTTAAAATATCCCGCTACCAATTTGATACAGTCACTACATACAGTATCGAATAAACAATTATCAGTTTGGAATTAGTTGTGTTCTATGAGATGGTTGGTTTGATTGCGGAACTTTCGTCGTCCTTCTGGGCAACATCTTCAGCGCAAGTTTTAGTATAAAATGAATGAATGATAGAATTGTGTCTCCTAGCAACCATCTTCGTGATTGGCACTCGATTCACATCTGTAATGATCATATTTTATTGACTTGAAATTTCAGCTTTCTTGCCACCTGAGCTACAAATCTTCTCTATTATTCAACTGCTAGTTTCTTAACAAACAAATCTGAAACTAGCCAACTGTATTACAAAAGTGTCATGATTGACTTCCCAAAACAAGCTTAAATGTACATCTTCAAGGAGATGATTACAGAATTTATTATGATGTAGACTCACAGGTATGAAGTTTAATGTTACATTTCCTGACAGTTGATTTAAAACTTGAGACAAGAAAGATTTTTGCATTATCAGTTTGTCAATTTAACTGCTTTTAAATTAGCACGTAGAAAACGGTGCAGAACTAAAAAAGATGTATTTCTATTAAAATTATAGTTGCCAGCTGACTTAAGACGCTAATGGATTAGTTACTAAACCATATGTTCAAAGTTTTGACATTACGTGTATACTAATAAAATATTTTATTGCATAGTGAACAGTTAGAAAGAATAGTCAACCCTTCTTCGACCATTCTGTAAATCGGACTGCAAAAATATTGAATGATAAGACAATAAAGGTCAGATTAATGGACTAATGACTTTACTGTCAAAATATTTCAAAATAAATTTATTAATATTATCGGCTGAATTAAACCCAAAGTGATCACCTACTTGTTCAGGAAATTTGTCTGCAGCATATGCATCAAATGACACTTTTAGGAATAGAAAATTCAAGACATAAATAAAATATGAATGATCTATTATATACAATAACTTTTCAGTGGCAGTAGCCTTAACTTTTGAAAAACACGATGAGCTCACATCAGTGGCTGACAGAAACAAGTGGATGATTACTATGGATAGTTTAGAGTTGTAGTGTTTTCAGTTCTCAAGTCCTTCTAATTCACTACAGTGAAAACAATACTGCCACGTCATCAGGATTTAGTGGAAAGAAACGGATATTTAATCTCAACTTACATATGTTTGAGCGACTTCAATTCGGAAACCAGAGATTTAGGAAGCCATATTAAGTTATTTTTCGTTAGAAGGCTATGAAAGAAAAATAACGGATAAATGAATTCATAATGACATTTGATTTATACTACTTATAAATACGGGTATGGAACCCACGAAATTGTTAATAGCAGCGTAAATAATGACCATTTTCAAATATGAAGAGTAATTGACTGGTGGAAACAATGATATTTAATATTTCTGAAGTTTAGTAACACTGAGCTTCTAACATTTTATATGATTCTTATGACTGAAATTCTAAGAAACTGTAAGTCTGTGTTTATGATTATAACTTTCGACTACTGTATTTTAAGCAGTTTTTTCACTTCTTGCATTCCAAATGAAAAGTAGGGCTACAAGCTTTTAAAGTTTCATTAAGAAGAGTAACCTTTATACAGAGTAGGATTGCTTGCCTCACACTAAGCCTATCATCTTTTACAGGCCTTCTACCGGCTGGTTAACTGGGCAGGGGTTTAAGAGTGTCCGTGCTTGGCAACAGGCTCGTATCCCCCTCTTGGGTGGCAAGCATCTTATCATTCAACCACCAATTCAGATTTTAAGTAGATGACGTAATAAAATATCTGTGATCCGATGTTTAAAACGATAAAATAAATAGTCATTGCTCACACAAAACATGAAAACGTTACGGAACAGCTGCACTGATGAGTTTTGGTCGAAGGAAAATTTGGTTTGAAGGTTTTCCGTTGATAAATTCCAAACACCTAACTCAACAAATTCAACTCAACAAAGTGAATAATAATATATATGTAAAACTTTGGCACTGTGGTAGTAAGTAATTCCACATTAGTTTGTTTATTAAATGTATCACACAATGAGTGAAACAGTATTATTTACTGGATGACGTTTCGAACAAAATTTATTGTTCATAATCATATCACTTGTGATCACATGACTTTGAAATTTTAGTTTTGTAGTTTTCTTTGTCTTCTCCTATTTGTCTTAGGGGGAGTAGAATTTGCCATATATCTGGGACAGGTGTTGAATCATTTCTACTACATGTATTCGCAGTTGATTCGATAAACAAAGCTTCTGTTACCAATCTCTTCCTATACCCTGTGACATTAGATTTTAAAACTGTCATCCTATCTCATCCTATTGTATGGTTGTGTGTAACTGCATGTAGTGCTATAGCTGAACTATTCTCTAGATTTCTTATCTTTGTCCGGTCAACCAAACTAGATTTTGCTAGGTTTTTATGATCGCCTAGTCTGACTGTCCCTGTTCTACTAGTTTGACCTATGTATTTGACCTGACAATCATTGCAGGGTATTAGATAAACTAAATTGTTTTGTTTAAATGGCTCCACAGGATTGACCCTTTAACCGATAAAGCTTGTTTCTAATTGAGTTTGTGGGTTTGAATGTGAATAATATATCAAATAAAAGCAAAATAAGGTTTGGGATAATTTCCATTATAAGACACAAAACTTTGCAAGACTGTCAAACAACTAAAAATTTATATTCTGATTAACTTACATATAGCGTAATTCAGTTAGTCCAGAAAATAAAGATTCCGGCAAACAAACTAACTTGTTTTCTTGTAAATCCCTAGAAAAACGAATAACACAAATAAAATGAATTACGCTAATTTAAGCAAATTATCATTAAACAAGTATACTTAGCCATTGCCAGACAGTACTCAATTCTTGTAAACAGTCGTTACTAGAAGATTACCAAGGGTAGACAGCTATCACCAGTTAGTTGGTAAACTGCAGTTACCTTGTTTCTTTAAAACAATTTATTGAGGTAACCTCATGTGTCTCTCTGCTGTGAAGCGTATACACAAAAGCACATTGGCTACAATAGAAGCACAGTCTGAATGAGTGACATATACAGTATCCATCAAATTATTTGATAGTTCTATCTTTCTTGAAGTTATACTAAAAAAAATCTATGGATACATTCTAACAGTTGTAGGTATTCATTCGAACAATTATTAAGCAGGTGAGGTTGTCTTAAATATTTTTCTCTGAAAGTTCATTTCAACCTAGCCAATTAATGAACATCCAGTCTTCCTAATTATCATAAATATTCACTCTTCTAATTTAACATCATGCATATAGCGAAAACACTGCCTAAGGCTGAAAATAATACTAACAAGCTAGGCTGTAACATTCAAAGAAGTCTATTAAAAAGCTTTTCTGAATAAAGGATGAATAAATTAGTGACTTATTACTTTGAAGATGGGAAATGAGCATATAATATATCATAATTTGCCACCAACCTAATGAATTTAAAACTCATTTTAATAGTTCAGTCACTTTATTTATGGTCGCATAAAAATCCTGATTGAAGTGTTCATTATTCAAGGTAGCGTGTTTAATATTGAAATAATTTCCATTTCCTACATCTGCTTAAAAATCGCCATATGATACTTCCGTCTTTATATATATATATATATCTTAAAACAAGACAGCGAAAGATGACTAATACTCAGAATTATGCGAAAGATTAATAGCTAACGACGAAGACGAAAACTAACTTCAAATTGAAGTATGCACTGAAAATGTTGCCTAGTAGAGCAATGAAAGCTTCGCGAATTAACTATCCAGCTTAGAGAACACAACCACATCAAAAAATTAACTGATTTTTGCCCGAGTGTCGCCATTTGATCGTTGGCTTTTTCTTATCATGCTTCATTATGTTTCCATCACAAATGTTATCAATAAGATTGTTCTTTGTATACTTTTTTACCACTTCGACGTACCACTGGAGAAATACTACTATGATGCCGTTTATCCTTAGCTGCTAAGCAGATACTATGTCTTAAATTCGTAACTCCAGCGGTAAGTGCAAACTAACATCGGTCTCTGAAAGCTCACTGATAACTCTTCTAGATGATGTAATGTGTTATTCATATTTGAAAGTTTTAGACGGCATCGGAACTTTTATCGTTAAAAACAGTCATTGATAACAACAACAAACAAACTGTGTATATTTTTTAGCTGATTGTCTTCAGCCACCTAACAAAACTCAAACCGATAACAACTGCCATGAATACAGTGAACAGTTCAGTTCACTTTTGTTTTGTCTGACAAGTGTTGTGTTAGGTGAATAAAATCACTGTTTTAACTAACTAACTGAATAAATAAATAAATAATAACTCTTGACACAATTAATCTCTTGACTTACACTTCAATCTTAGGCGAATATAGAGTATTCTACTAGGGACAATTATACTGAATACTGCCGGTTAAATAACAGCAATTACATATGAGGAAAGAATGTTAATGTAGATTCACTCCCTAACTAAATGAATCATTGCAAATTTTCACCTGCCTCATTAATCCTTCAACGCTTATATCAAGCTTAAACCTGTTTTAAACAAAGTTACAGAAGCCTAGTGTGGTGAGACTATTCACAGAAAGTGTGTACTTTGACTGGAAGTCGAATCTGTTTGTCAGGTGGCGTCACTTATACTTCGCTCAGTAAACAGCTAGACTGGTATATCGCCTAGGTCACTAACTGAAATTCTGCAGTGTGCTAAGCTGTCATCATCATCTGCTCATAGTGGTTTGTAACTACAGTTTTATTCATTTCTAAATTGCACAGTAAGAATTACATTTATCTAATTATGAAGCATTTATTTCGAAATGTAATTTCACATAATTATATCTAGTGCTGGTGTGCAGGGATTTGAATAGTTACAGTTTTGTCCACGAGTTGGTGTCAATTACAGAACCACTGGAAAGCCTGAGAGTGCTGGACAGCTGTTTCACCCTAGTTTGGGACACCTCAGAAGTACGCACCCACTGGGGCTACCGGATATGAAGTGAGCTACCGGGGCCCGATCCCATGGCTCATAAATCATATACACATATATATATATATATATATATCACGAATTGGTAGAATCTGGAATTCACGGGCCATGGAATCAGGTCCCAGTGTCTCACCTTGTGATCTGAAGGTCCTGGGCTTGAACCCCACTGGGTGTGTATGACTGAGGTGACACAGCTTCCCGGTACTCCCAGATTTTCGGATAGTTCTCCAACTGTTGTCAACCCGTGATCAAACCTATAACTATATCTAACTAGTTGTTAGAATTAATTTTCTCCTGATTATCGTAAAAATGCTTGCTTTGCCATACAATAACAATTACAGTAGATAGTTTTATGTGAGTAGTGCGGGATTTCAAAAAATTAATTGAAGCACTTGGCTATAAAGGGAGCATAGTGAACGTTAAGTCTTAAACCCATTTAAACTATACAGTTGTCAAAACAAAGCAGCAAATGAAATCGAAACACATAATGCGATATAACAGTTGATGTATTCAAGCAGGGGTGATCTGACAAGTTACAAATTGTAACTACCTTAAAACAATCAATTTTTATTAAGGTTTACTAAGGTATCATAACAAGAAAATTTCCTAATAAATGAGATATTTAACTTCTTTATGATTTCACTAATTTATTATTATTACTGACGGAGGTTTAATTCTACTCTAATCAAGTGATTTAAATACAATAATTTACTAAGGATTGCTACCCAATTCGCAAACATATTTCCATAACACCTTAATATCTTCCTCTTTTATAAATCACAGCATGAAATGTTTGCAACATATATATTCAATAATACACCAACTCATTTAGCGAATGACTATAATAAACTTTAATGCATCTGATAAAGTAGTCAATGTAAAACTGTATCTTCATTAATGTTCAAGTCTAAGTGGAAAATAATTTGCAATAAGTAAGTCATTTTCAATCATAAATAAACCTTAGTTACAGGACCATGAGAGGTGATAAATCTTGTTGAACAGCTGTTTCATTGTGAAACTATTAAATTTACACAAATTTCTTCAATTTCATTCTACCTTTATTATGTAATCCTTCGCTGTTATCTTGTTCATTAATAATACAAATACTAACTAAATCAAACAAAGGATTTCAAAATATCATATATGATGAATGATGTGGTGTTGGTTAGTCTTCATGAAAGTTTCATGCATCAGGATGATCCCATTTCCTCATTCCTGCCGCCCTCGTTCATGCTGAAACTGAAGTATTCTTCAGTGGTTGTAATTCTGCTGAAGTGAGTCTGTTGAACAAGCTGTGGCTTACATAACGAAATGTTCAGCAAAATCCTGTTTCAATTTTTAAAACGTACTTAGATTATTTTAAGTAATTTTATAATGGTCTTATATTTTTGTTACGTTAAGTCGAATATAAGATTTCAGTGATCACACGTATGTATTTGTGTTTTTTTCATTAATGACTCACGTAAGCTGATACTTTTAGCCTATCGTTCTTTCTGATTGATGGTTCTTTTTACTATACCAAAAGTGAACAGCCTTGTAGTTTGATAGATCATTGTTAAATAGAACCACGTTATTTGTATGTCAGTTTTCATTCAAATAGATTGACATTGTCCCTGGTTATATAGAATGAAAATTAAATGAGTCGTTACAAGAGAAATAGGCAATGGGGTCACCACTAGGACCCATTCTAGCCGATATTTTCCTTGCGAAACTAGAAAATAGGCCTTTGAAGGATGTTATTTTTGATAATCAAAAATGGAAAGGAAACAAAAACACCCCGGATAAATTTATTGAGGTTCATCTAGCAATAAATTTTACTATTGAGAAAGGAAAAGTCTCTAGTATTTCATTTTAAGACCTCCTTATGACCAGAAAAGAGGATGGCACAATAAGAAGAAGTGCATATAGACAACCTACATCACTTGGTCAGTATACTCACTTTCTTAACTTCGTGCCCGTAAAATACAAACGCAGTCTGATAAAGTGCTGGGTTCACAGAGCAAGAGCAATCTGCTCGGAGGAATGTCTTAATGAGGAACTTAATAATGCTAAACGTTTGCTAAGTAAAAATGGTTATGCATAGAAGTTTAATGATGAGATTATAAATCTAAAATCAAAGCAGTCCAAGGTACCAACAGTTCCTAAAATGGCCTTTTTCTTACAAATGCAGTTCTTTGGGGACAACATCAGCGAGACACTAACACAGCGCATAAGAAATGCGGTAAAACGAGCATTCCCTGCTGCTGAATTACGTTGTATCTTTAAGACCATTCCTCTTCTGCGTTCGGGAATAAAAGACAAACTGCCTAATTTCGCCTCTTCCATGTATATCTACCAGTTTAACTGCTCCTGTGGAGCCAGTTACATAGGCCGTACAGTTAGGCGTGTTTCTCGTCGAATTTCCAATGATCACCCTGCGTGGCTAAGCAAAGGACAAACAAAATCTATTCGCAGCGCTATTCTATCTCATCCTGTGGATACAGAACACAAGATTGACGTTAACCATGCTTTCAGGGTCATTTACCGGATACCTGTGAATCTCAATTTCACCTTAAGAGTTCGACTACTAAATATTGCTGAGGCTGTGGGGATCCATATTAACAAGACTAATTTATGCATCCAAAAGAAGTTAGTTCATATATTATCATTACCTTGGTCATTTAGGTCTGAAAGATCCACAATTTTTGTGAAATTTAGCTAATTTTAGTTGATATTCTATTTGCTACTATATCTTTATCTTTATTATAATTTAAGCACCTTTAATGAACTGTAATTGCATTGATTA